GAACAGTTTTTGAAAAGTCCACTTTAGGGTTAATTCCGGCCAAATGCAAAGAGAAGCTCACGAGGAGATAAACAGTTTTTCAGCCTTAAGCAACAACAGAATGTCCAAGGCCACCTCTTCTGGGAATCATTCCAAACACTTTAGATAGACAAAACAATGTCCACACTTAATTTGAAGAAGGTCTCTTAAGCTTATAACGCCAGGTTGTAAATATTCTTAAAGTGTAATTAAAAAAGTTACTTTCTTCAGCTATCCCTCTCACCAGATTTTCTGCCGCTTTAAAAAGTTACTGAGATAAGATAGCAATTCTTTTTTTCCATATATAGGGGTACATAGGCAATTAGTTGCAAAAGAATTCTCAACCGATGGAAAAACAGCGATGCCAGGTGCTGTTCCTTGCTTCTCTCAGACGGCTGCCAGCGACTTGGAAGCTTGCCGAAGCTGCTTATTTCTGCCCATTGGCTGATTAGGGAGTTTCCTGGATCGAACCGGGATGGCCGCCGCCCCCCGTGATCAACAGGCTTTCTCCCCCAGTTCACCACCCCTCCAGGGTGGTTCCGACACCTTGCGGTGTCCCAAAACGGGTCAGAATTCAGCCCAGGGGACAGAGCTCTGTTCTCCTGCTGCTGTCTCGTCGCAACGTCAAGCCGGAAGTCAGCATTTGTCTTTTTTGTAGCCACATCACACTGTTGGGCTTGTGATCTACAACAATTCCAAGATCCTTTTTGCTTGCAGTATTGCTGAGCCAGGTATCCCCCATCTTGTAACTGTGTGTTTTGTTTCTTTTTCCTAGGTGCAGTAGAACTGAAGTAGTTTGCTTACAACTGTTCTGTTAGAAAAAGCTGAGGTGTCTGTTTTTGTGAAGAAATTGTGAAGTTTAATTATGTTCTTGTTGGATGTTGTGTAAAAACAAGCATGCATACAGATTCATATAAATAACTAAATGTGCTTAAACTCAGTGAAGAAAGTGAAACTGAAGTAGTTTGCTTACAACTGTTCTGTTAGAAAAAGCTGAGGTGTCTGTTTTTGTGAAGAAATTGTGAAGTTTAATTATGTTCTTGTTGGATGTTGTGTAAAAACAAGCATGCATACAGATTCATATAAATAACTAAATGTGCTTAAACTCAGTGAAGAAAGTGAAAGCAAACGTATTTTAGTGGTCCAATGAAAAAGTTAAAGACTAACTCTGAAACCTTTATTCTTTAGGGTTTTTTAAAAACTTATTTTGGTTTACTAACACTGCATGAAAAAAGCAGTCACAAGATATACCTCAAACTCCACTCACTATTGCTGGCACACATAATCAAGGCTGTAGCTCCATAATAATATTAGATGCAGGTATTTCATCCAAAGTGTTCTTACTGTTTTTCTTCAAGTGTAAAGTCAGGTCTTGGTGTAGTAGTGTTTAAATAGAAGTGAAAACAAAATACCAGCCTCCTTGTTTGGAAAAAAAGAAATACTTCAGGGAAAGAATTCCATGTTCACAAGTTAAACAGCAACCCCAAACGGAGGTGGTTATTGTTCAGAGACAGCACACATTAGGCATAGGAAGGCAGGTGAATAGTCATCAAATGTATTGACCCAATAAGCTTTACAGTAGTTTTAGCAGTAGCTCTTCACCAGCTCCCAGAACGGCTGGCAAATAAGAGCTAGTATTCAACTAACCTACTACCGTACACGGATCCTGTTCAGATCCTCCATGAACACTTGGGGACAGGTAAACATCAGCCAGAGGAACATGACTTTCATCAGCAGTTTGGCACATAGGAGGACAACCAGTTTTTTCTTCTGTGTGCCAGATTTCAGAAGCAACATTATCATCTTCACTACATTTAAAGTAGACTGAATCTAGCTTTAGTGCAGAGTTGGTTATGTTCGTGGCATCCTTTTATAAAAAAAGAAAATATGTGCATATCAATATTATTTCCTTTTACAATCAATTACTGCATAATTTCCCATCCCATTTCTGATCAACACACACCTAAAGTCTTATAGAACAAAACAAAACAAAAATCCTCAAGGACCTATTAGTTTTTAAAAGAAAAGATCAGGCCAGCAAAGAACAGCTCATCCCTAAAGAAGAACAGAAGCACAGGAGACATGTGTACTATCAGAACAGTTTTGTTCCCATCTGTCTTGGCAACAGATTCAACCTACATTAATTTTCCCCCCTCCCTATAATCACTTTCCTTGTGTCACATACCTTTCAGATTACAAGACTCGGGCCAGATACTATTTAAGTATTAATTTCTCTAAGCCAGGGGTCTCAAACATGCAGCCCAGCGGCCATTTGCGGCCCACCGGATGATAGTTTGCAGCCCCCGCCTTGCCTGCCCCTCCAAAGCACCCACGTATCCTCTGCTGTCAAGAGTTTTAAAAAGCCTCGCCTCGCTCGCTGGCTCTCTACCAAAACAGCACTTCTTGCACCCTCCATCCAGAACTGCAACCTGCCAGCCAGCCCGCCTGTCTGCTGGCTGGTAGACTGCAGTTCTGGATGGAGGGTGCAAGAGGCGCTGTCTTGGGGGAAAGCCGGTGAGCGAGGCTAGGCTTTTTTTTCTGCCTCTAGTGGCCCCCAGGTAAATTGAGTTTGAGACCCCTGCTCTAAGCTGCCCTGTGAGCATTTTCAACTGGAATAAAATGATTCAAGCAAACAAATAAACTGCTTCTTTCATGACAACTCATCACCAGAGGAAATATTAATGATATTGTGTACACATATAACAACTATGCGAGATTCCAATTAGAGGAAGGCGAAAAGAGCCAGTGAGTAGGTAAGGTAAACTTCTGAAGATGGCCTTTTTTAAAGCACAAGATTTTGGGACATCAAAAAGCAGTCATATGGCTTAGACCACTGACGCAAGAGCTGTACTTTATCAATGTGTAAAAGATAAAATAGTGTGATTAGTTAAGCATAATAAAATCAGACAAGAGCAAAACATTTCAAGCAAAGAAAGCAATACTTGAGTGTATCAAAAAGTCCTATCAAACTGTAATGTTTACAATATACGTAAAGCTTAGTTGGAATGGAACCAACCTATCCTTTCTCAGAGCATTTGTCTCAATAACCCACTAACTCTCTTGTTAACAAGAAACAACAGTGCAGGTGACAAAGACTGTGGATTAAAGGTGAGGTGGGAGGAGTTGCTCTTTCAGATACACAGGTCCAAGTCATTTAGGACTGTGAGTAGAACTCCAAAACTTAAATTGGGCTCAGAAACAAATTAAAGGTAGTGTAGTTGGTACAAAATTGGTGACATGTGGTCTTAAGTGCATGTGAAACTATCTGACCACTGCACTTAACAATATGCACTTAACAAGGCTGCCCTTGCAGACTGTTCCACAATATGAGCTGGTGCTACTCATACAAAAGGCATAGGAAACATATTACAGTTGCTGTGGCACAAAGCACAGACTGCCTTTTGACTTTCAGACCCCACTGAAGATGCTGGTTAGCACCTCTAAGCCCCGAGAGTGCAGACCTATAGAATTCCTGCTTCAACCATAACCCTCTCTACCCTCTCAGGTTATTGGGAAGCACTGGATGTTAAGAGTTCTGCTGGCGGAACAGTGGAATCTAGGAGATGCAGGATAGGAACAATCCCCTTTTATCACTACAGCCCTGCTCTGGACAGCTGGGAAATTCTTGGGAGCTCCTTTTTAAGGAACTGCAAGGGGAAGTATATTATGTCACAATGGGGTCCTGGCCCTAGCATGACAATGAATTTAAGTGACCAGGTTCCATTCTTTGCTCCCGCTCTAGTTATGTCCTCAAGGCACAGAAGATCTTAACAGAGGCATATAAGGTATAGAAAAGGATCCCTAATAAAACCCCACTAAATTCTTTGTTGGCTACACAGCACTGAAAAGTTAAAACCTTTTTATTCCCCAAGACATGCTCAGACTAAGTTATGCCAAAATAAAGAAACATTATCAGCAATAATACACAGAGTATGGTTTTCAATAGATTTTCCACTTACATTTTTTCTACCACTGACTGTATTAATCTTTAAAGGTGTTCCATCTTCCCTATGAGAGTCAAAATCTGCAGCAATAATATAAATTTAATATTAATTTATTTCACATCAATTTCAAACTTCTAGAAAATAAATATAACTTTAGTTTGAAATTAACATACCATTTGAGATTTCTTCTTTATAAATGCTTTAACCACTTAACAATTCAAAATTAAAAACAGTAAATAGTGGCATGAATATATGTCACCAGAATTTTAGAAGATGTAAATACAAGTATCATAGTCAACTCAAATGCAATCGAGAACAAGGGTGGTCATACATTAGGCATATAAAACCTACTTTTAAAAAAAAACTAGAACTTCAAGGATCTGCCAACTGAAACCAAATACAAGTAGAGGTCCAAGGGAGAGGAATTCAACAATTAAGGCATAAAGGTGCTTCTGAGTGCAAGCTTAGCACATGAATTTATTTTCAGTATCAGAACTGAGATCACAGAATTATAGAACTGAAAGGGACCCCAAGGATCATCCAATCCAGCTCCTTATCAATGCTGAAAATTCACACCTTAAAGCATTTCTGTTGGCCATCCAACCTGTTTAAAAATCTCTAGTAAGGGCAATCCACCAGCCTCTGTTGCAGTCACTGTCATTATTAAATGCTTGTCACTGTTGGTTCTTTCCAATGGTCAGCTGAAATCTCCTTTCTTGAAACTTGAATTCATCACTTTTCATCCTAAAAAACTTCATCTTTCATATTATAACCCTTCAAATACTTCAATGGTTATTATACTGCTTCTCAGACTTTTCTTTTCCATGTAAATAGGCCTTGTCCTTTCAACCTTTCCTAAAATAACTTAGTTTCCAAACTTTTTACCATTCTGGCTGCCTTCCTCCAAACATGTTCCAGCTTCTTGAGATCCCTCTTCAACTGTCATGCCCACAGTTGGACACAGTACTTTAGCTGAGGTCTGACCAAAGCAGAACAGAGTAGTACTATTATTTCCGTTCATTTAGAACTATGCGCCAGAGTTTCTTGGCGCAAATCACGGTTTTAGCAGAGTGATTCGCAGTCCAGGCAGTCCAGAAATAACTCACACACAGTCCAGCAGCATTTCCTTCGGCAACATGTATTTACAGCAGTATTTACAGCATTCTGGCAGCATAACGTGTAGAAGTGATCTTCAAGCAGGAAGAAGATACAACTGACTGTACAATTCACACACATATATATATACAGGACCAATCAGATCACACATTGCATCATCCCCGAGTTGCATCATCCATGAGTTGCATCAGCACTACTGAGTCATCCTGACTCAGTTTTAACACACCTGATCATTATGGATTCTCATTAATACACTCCATTCTGCTCAGGCCTGTAATTTTCCTTGACACTACGCTTCTGTTGATACACCCTTCTGGCTCATGTTTGTGATCTACCAAGATACTGTACTTAGATCCTTTTCATCCCTATTGAGGAGTCTCATGGCAGAGTCGTTAAACTGCGTCTGATTTTAAGGTACAGTACTTCACATTTTCTCCTCTTGAAAATCTTAACAAAATTTCTTTGTATTAGCCCAGTTGTCTTATCTGCTAATGTTATTCTGAATCCCAATTCTGGCTTCTGAAGCATTAGCAACCACTCTACGTTTAGTATCATCTGTAAATCTGATGAGCATTCCCTCCATAACCTCATCCAAGTCCTTACTAAAGATAAAGAACACCACCAGAACTAGGACAGAACCTTCTGACACTCCACTTGTCATTTCCCCTCCAGGATGACACAGATACAGTCTGTCTACTACCTACAAATTTACATTACTATTGCATCACCCAGCCTGCACTTTTATCACATTGGCCATAAAAATATGAGAGACCCTTGTCAAAAAGCACTGCAATCAAGAGACACTACATTCACAGCATTCCCGTTATCTAACAATACAATTATAATCCTTTTTTTAAAGATAAAAGATTAGTCTGTTGTGACTTGTTCATGAGAAACCCATGATTAGTCTTAAAAATCAGTTTTCCCTTCTAAATACTTGCCAACAAACTGTCCAGTAATTGGTTTTATAATGTTCCCTGGTGTTGATATTAAGCTAATTGGCCAGTGGTTGCATGGATCTTCTTTTTTCCCCTTTTTTGAAGATGGGATCACATGAGTTCATCTGGTCCCTGAGACTTAAACTCATTTAAGGTACTAGGTGTTCCCATAACATCTTTTTCTCTAGCTTGGGCAACAACAGTCTCATTTCCTCCTTTATTCTCTTGCACTAGGTTGGGCACTATTTTTCTTTCATGAGGAAATAGAAGTAGGAGTTCAACGGTTCTGTCTTCCCTCTGTCACCACATAAGAATTATCCATCCTCTCCACACAGCTGACTTGTTTCCTTCTTCCTTTTGCTTCAAATGTAGCAGAAAAATCCCTTTTTGTTATTTTTTACTTGTTGCAAATCTGAGCTCATTTTCAACGTTATTTTTCTACATCTTCTTTCTATAAATACTGGCTATCTCTTTATACTCTGCCTTGGTGATCTGCCCCTCCTTCCACTTCTTATATATGTCTCCCTTAATTTGTAGCTCATGCATTAGCCTTTTATGCATCCACCATGGTTTCTTTAGATGTCTGCCACAGTTCTTCCTCATACAAGTTATTATTCATATTACTCTTAATATCTCACTCTTAAGAAGCTCCCATCCATCACAAACCCCCTTCTCTTTGAAGCATTTCTGACTGTAGAATCTCACCCAGCACTTCTCTGATTTTATTGAAATTAACTTTCCCTATATCCAGAGTGTATGTTACACTACTCTCATTTTCGCTTTTTCTCTATATAACAAATCTCAAGAGGGCATGATCATTTCAACCCAAAGTTCCCACTGTTTTCATAGAAATCTATGGTGGAAACAGTGGGAACTCTATGGTGTTTTATCATAAATCACCCAACCAGCAGATCTGGTTTGGATTTAGTCCAACCCTAGATTAAAATGCAAAAATAGAGATGAGGACACCATGTGTTCACTGCATAGTTCTATTCATTTGTTAAGAAACTGTTTATACTTTCCATGATAAAGAGGAGAGCTCTAGCACCATCCACCTGTTTCCAGTTTTGTTGCTCTTTTACATACAGAGAACAAGTCTGAAGAAAGCAGCCTATGCTATCCATGGGAGCTCTCCACATGAGTCAGAGGCCTGACTCACATGAAGAGCCCCCACCGACTACTGAGGATCTTCTCTTCAGACTCACTGCTCTTCACAAGTATAACAGTAACAAAACCAGAAATAGAAGAGGACAGGACTAAAGTGCTCTCCTCTCATGACAAATATGCACAATTTGCTACAAAAGGAACATAGTTCTTACCTTTCCTTTTTAACATATAGACATAGAGATGCATTTTCAATAAGTTCTGTATTAATTCCCTTTGGGTATCTGTGACCTCTAGCTAACATGTGATGGAAGAACAAAAATGGTTTCTCAGAGGGATTAAATCAGTTCAACATAAGCACACCATATGTTTCCATCAGTTAGGAAATGAGAAAGAGGTAATGAGATTATGCCTGTCCTCTAAGAAGCAGAAACTCTGGTGACCAAACAGATATTTAATTTTAGATAATTTACCCTTTGCACAAGACAACTGATTGCTAATATCCAAACTTTTTTAGAACAAAAAATGAGAGATATTAAAGTTATCCTACCTTCTACATCTAAACATAAGTCATGTGAATGTATTGTTCTGCTGCACACTAGAGATGCATCACCTACTATTCCAACAGGAGACTTATCAGCACTACTGTTGGGCTCAGCAATTGAGCTAGGCTTCATGCAACCTTCCTGTGTTAAAGGGAAAAAATACAACACACATATATTTAGAGCTTATAAAATAGTAATTTGCCAACTTCTAAATACATATTACATAGAATTAACAGCTTACTTACTAAACCACAAGCTATACTGACTACTTAAAATATGAATGCTATTAGATGTTTAACTAATGCTTAATTTTTAATTTCACATACCTCTTGCTTTGCTATCATTGGCAGCATGAATTGTTCATCTTTTATGTACTCTTCTTTAAGATCGTAAAATTCTTCATCACTTAGAATAAGTGAATCATTTCTTGCTTCCTGGTTCACTTCAGGCATTTTGAATTTTTCCTACAGAATTTTCAGAGTTAGTTTTTTAACACACCACTGCTACAGCAAGATACAAAACATTATTATTTATATTCTTACTCTTGGTCAACTTCTGAGTAGATAACATGTTTAAGCTAAGTGGATCATTGGTTTTTTGTTTTTTTTTAGAAAAGCAGGAAAATATTCCAGAAATAAGTAATCTCAAGTGAATAATCACCATCTGTTGTGTTTTATCATTTATAAGTTGTGATTTGAAGGTATTTTTTGCTAGTTGTTATCAAATTCGTTCTAAACATGTACACACATCACATAAGGAACAGTGAAGATTAGAAAGATTTGGGGCATAGGTGTAACAATTTATCCTAGAAAGCAGTGAGTGAATCATTCAAAAACTATTAACTGCAGTTATATTTAAATTTTCCTTTATCACGCTCCTTGTGGTAAATTCTGTGAGATATAATTCTGGCATTATGTTTAGACCAACAATTCTAATCTAATTAGAAATAATTCAAGCCATGTCATTTGATCTGAAGCTTGAAATTACATATTGTCCAGGAGCAATACTACAGAATTGATTGCTATGACATCAAGTCTAGTAGTTACCGCCATATCTACCTATTCAATAGGGGGTCACAGAACAAATGAAATGTATTCACCCTGCATTAGTGAACTGACACAAAACTTCCTGGGTTGTTACTTTCAGAAGTAAGTGCTAATCTGCTCATTCATGTTGTACTTTTGAGTGTCAACCTGCTAAAAATGTGCATTCTCTCCAATATATCCTCTAGTCATCTCTGGTACTATAGGTCGCTATATTATATAGTGCAATATCTGGCAAAGATTCAAATGGATCAATTCCTAGTGCATCTCAATTGCTAGCAAAAACCAAAACAAAGGTTTACAATTTTTCATTGAATTTGTTGGCCAAACAAAATTGCTTATTGCCAACCCTCTGCATTCCCTGCCATGAGCAAGATTCACCATGACAACCAACTGCCATCTAACTGTTCACCTTTCTCATGCTAAGAACTGGAATGGAGAACAATATTAGCCAGACAAGTGCTGTTCAAAATTGCATGTGTGTCTTTGGGCAGCGGTCTATGTCTCTTGCCTCTAGCCACTAGAAATGGGCAATCTCACCCTGCTTCAGCAAGAATCGCTAGGCTCACTGCTTCCACGCAGCTTTAGAGCAGGCAGGGATTATTATGTAACTGGTCACACAATTCATGTCCAGTTTCAAAATTAGGAGGGGAACTAGGTACTAGGCACATTTTCCAGATGGTTCTGTCACATGTGCTATGGAGAAGAAAACTATCAGAAGGAGAATTTTAACCATATCCTAAAAACATTTATATAAAGTAACAAGGTCTAAAGAGATCCCAAGGGCAGAATTAACTGACAGAACACATAAACTGTCTATGGAGAATTTCCGAAGGGTGTAAAGTAAACCCTGCCCACTCTTTCTCTCTCATTCTATAAGCATGTACACCTTAGTCATGGTTTCACACAATTTTGAACCATTTCCATAACATTCGAACACTGTCAGTTTAATTGGGAATTGCAGCTGACCACACAGGGCAAATCAAAATTAAACAAGACAGTACCAGATATTTTATGCCAGCTAGGTTGCAGGCATAAAATAGTTCTCTTCTCTAGATACAGACAGAGGAAGGATTCCCATTGCCCAGCAGATATTCTTCCAGCACCCTTCCTTGCCACTATATTTAGTCAATAGAGATGGGGTAGTCGTATTTGTATACAAATACCCCTACACAGTTGGACATAATAAGAGTCCGGCTGGACTGTCTACTCACCTTCCGCTGCTGAGCGCTCTGCGCTCCCTTCCTATCACTCTGGATTGCCTGGTTGGCGAGCCACTCTTCGACCTGGCAGTGAGGCTCGTCGTTCTGCCTCCTGCCAGGAGTGGCTCACCAACTGCAAGCTCTGGAGTGATAAGAAGGGAGTGCAGAGCCCGCAACAACAGAAGAAGGCGAGTTGACAGTCCAGCCCCAGGGGGCTGGACCCTCATTGTGTCCACCTGTGCAGGGGTATTCATATTCGAATAGGAATACCCCCATCTCTAGTCAATAATCAATAACACTACTGAATAGAAAGCCCTAAAAAGCAACAAAATGTGTATTAAAAGCAACATTCAACTTACTACTGTTAAAACCCATCATTGTGCATTATTACCCATTCACAATAATTACTATTTTGAGAATAAAATCAAAAGACAAACACAAGACCCATTCACACGTACCCATTCATTTTTCCACCCAATATCCAGGAAGCTAAACATCTAGCCCTACAATATCCATCTACAGATTTCTCTTTTTGTATTAATAAATGTCTCCATATAGGAGAATCTGCAGCTTGCCAAAGTTCCTGAATTTGATTTTGTTAACTTTGCTTCATATGAGAGTCAGAAGGAACCCAAAAGTTTGTCAGGATCTGCATTCTCTCAGCACCACTTTTTTGCTTGATGTATTTCTATGCAACAAGTTTCACCTTGCTGAGTGAAGGCTACAGCAGCTTCCCCAAGCTAGCGCCTTCCACACATTAATAACCATTATGGAGGGGAATACTAAGAGTTTCAATAACTTGTTAAAGGCTGGCTTGTGGTGCCTGAGTTACTGGCAAAATTTAAGATTAACATATAAATTGATACAAAATATGATCTCTTGATTCACCACATAACCTTTGAGAAAGATCTTTGGAAATAGTACCTCCCTTCTAGCATTTCAGCCAGGTCTTGGAAACAAGCGGTTTGGATGGGCCACAGCTTAGCTCCTTTAAATTACCAAAGGAAAAACTATTTTCCTGAATTCCCAAACAATTATGTGCTCTATTTTATCCCATTCTCTCAGGAAGCAAAAATGACTGAACATCTAAACACTACAAGACTGGAATTACATTGTGTGTAAGTAGGTCTTCATCACCACAATGACTGAATAAATGTTACCTGAAGTGAAGGCATTTCCATGGGTTTAAAATATTCAGCAAGTTCCTGTTCTTCCATATCTTCCACTTCTGACAGTACAAGGTGCTCAAAGTAAGCTTCCAACTGGTCATCACAAAATTCTTCCTCTCCAACATCTTCATCTAATATGCAATAGAGAGATATGTCATTAATATAGAGATAATGGCCTGTATCCAACGTAGTAAAATGAAGCTCTAATAGTTGCATATTTTCAGAGTTACTGTAAGTGTGCCTTCAATAAACTTGTACAATTGGACACACAACTGGATGTGCAGCTAAATCCACATCAGTGCAGTTAAGCACCGGTACACTAGCAGGTGGTGGCGCTGTAGCCTAAACAGCAGAAGCCTCTGTACTGCAAGGTCAAAGACCAGCAGTCGTAAGATCGAATCCACGTGATGGAGTGAGCTCCCGTCGCTTGTCCCTGCCAACCTAGCAGTTCAAAAGCATGAAAAAATGCGAGTAGATAAATAGGTACCACCACAGTGGGAAGGAAACGGCATTCCATGTCTAGTTGCACTGACCATGGAAACTGTATTCGGACAAACGCTGGCTCTGTGGCTTGGAAACGGGGATGAGCACCGCGCCCTAGAGTTGGACACAACTGGACTAAATGTCAAGTGGAACCTTTACCTTTACCTTACACTAGCAGGGATTTTCAGTTTGCTACTGTAACACTATATCTGTATTTAGATTTCTAAAAAGAAAGGTAATTCACCTACATGTTGCATGCCTAGCACAAAGAATACCAATGTACTAATAAGCTGTTTTGCTGCTCACAGTGAGAAACCACAATTAATGGAAATAAAATTTGTGTAAGTGCATCAAACACTTCACATTTTCAAAGAATACCTGTAGAATTTCCTTCTAGGCTTGCAAAGCTCAATAGTTTTTCATTTTCTATCAACCTGGACAAACCAGTCACCGCATTATCACATGTTTCACTTCTTATCCATTTCTGACTAGGTTCTAACACAGCAGCCTGTAAATCAAAATGAACATATAAATTTTAATAACTTAATCTTTAAACTAGCTAGAGAACCATTTCCCTGCTGGATCAGTCCTAAAGTGTTCAGTGTCTCACATATGTCCCAAAGAAAGGCTCACAAGGACATGACTCGATAGTTAACCCATATTTAAATTCCACAAGGTTTCTAAAAAGTTGATTGCAGAAATTACAGACCAGTTAACTTTTCCAGATATATAAGTGGGATACATTCAAGATATCATAAATGCAGATTTTGCTGGGGGGTAGGAAATCAAAAGGGCTTCTGAAGAGCTAATTACAGCATCACCAACTATCTGGAATTGGTTGAAATTTATAGTTTAATTTTGGGAAGCATTTTCTGCACATGAACATTTAAAAAGTTTTCAAAGAAACCTGTTATTTTAGCCATTGATGTATATGGAACATACGATGTTAGCTAAACTCTAACATTATGCTCAAAATTAGACCATAAGACATTTATTACAAAACAAACAGTATATTCCAATTTATATAAAATAAGAGCTACCAAATCGCTGTTTGAAAGTTTTTTCATTTTCAGCCAAATATATGCAATTACACTGCAAAAAGTTACCTTGTAGTCTTCACTCCCTTTTTCCAGTGAAGCAAAGATTTCAGTTGTTAAATCTGAAAATTTAAAGAGTAATAATTATTCCTCATATACTAGGTACACAAATGCAGGTTAGATCAAAATTTGCCAACAATGTCTTGATCTCAGCAATACATGTGCAAGCAAAATGTACGAAGTTCTTTTTGCTATACAAAGCTAATTACTTTTCTTAATACAGCAAGACAAAATGGCATAAATTTCAGCAATATCATCCATCCACTATCACATACAAAACCTCCTCACAGCATTCTCTACATAGGAACTGGCCACCATGGAATGATGAATTGGAATTGGTACTATTTCATAATTCCATAGCTCACTCTCCAGTATCACGAGTACAAAGCCTCATTTCAGCCATTTCACAAATTTATAGAATACAGAAGGTGAAGAAAAGAACCTCTACTTCTTTCCTGTGTTTTTCATACAGATCACTTTTTCCTCACTGTTGCAGTAAACTGGCAAGAATTAATTGGGGCAAAGGACATTATGGAAATGGGGCGAGAGATTAGGACACCTACAGAGGTGCAGCTGAAAGATTGGAGATATGTGCACCTGATTTAGATGCGTACCATAATCTTCAAATGAATGTTATGCTGAAAGATTCCTGTTTAACCATCAGAGGTCCCCTGCCCTTTTACAACCCCTGAAGGCAGCTGATACTTTTCCTCTGAGGTTAACTGTGCCATTTTGGCTACAGAAAAAGCCATACATGGACAATTACTTTATTAGCAGTATGTAGAATAGGTTTCTTTGAATGGAAAAAAAAAGTATGAATGAAGAAATCCAAGGGTCAAATTTTGCTCACTAGACCTGTTTAACTGGGCCACAGGGATTTCCGGTTGAAGCCCCTTGCTAAAATTCTGTGTTTTCTGAAAAAAGGAGGTATGACAGGAAGGCCACAGTTCACTGACTCCTCTATTCCCCCAACATGTCCAATGTTCTCATGGAATACTAAATCCCTTGTGAAGCACTAGTTGTACACCCAGCTATGCTCTTCCTTCACCATATCCTTTACAAAGAGCAAAGCCAGCTATTCAACCAAAGTGCCAACTGGGCACTCTTATTAGTGCCTTGATTAGGCAACTGACTAACAGATTTGCTCAGAAGCTACAGATTAAACTTTGATTAGGTAGTTGATGTCAGATGGCCATGAGTGGCTCAGACGGAGCAGAAACAAAAACATTTCTGCCCTACTAAAGTATATGGCCATGTAGTAAAAGTGTCAGCCCTTGACTGCCTTTAACTGTCTCCTTCCAATTTGTTTACTAAATTAGTATTATATACTGTTTACTATATTAAGGAGCTTAGCTCGGACAAAACGAGGTCCTGAGGGTGGGTGGCCCCTCCACTGGTGGTTTGGGAAACTCCCTCTTTTTTGGGGGGGGGGGGAATCTTACTATGAAGAGTGAGGTTCACAGATTGGGGGTCCATCTGGATCCAGCACTTACCATGGAAACCCAGATAGCATCAGTGGTCCATACCATCTACTTCCATCTTTGGCAGATTGCCAGCTGCGTTCCTATCATGATGTTGGGACGCTCACCACTCTAGTCCATGTGCTTGTAGTCTCAAGATTAAACTACTGTAATGCACTCTACATGGGGCTACCTTTGAGATTGATGCGGAAACTTCAAATGGTTCAGAACGTGGTGGCCAGACTTCTTACTGGGGTGAAAAAACATCAACATATCTCCCCCACTCTAGCTGCACTGCATTGGCTGCCCGTTCGTTTCTGTACTGATTTCAAAATATTAATGATGACATATAAAGCCCTAAATGGTTTAGAACCTCAATATCTAGAGGAACGCCTTCTCCCACCTAGGTCTACCTGAATCACTCGTTCTAGCCAGGATGGACGGCTGAGGGGCCTAACACCAAAGGAGGCCCGGAGAGAAAAAACAAGAAAGCGGGCCTTGTTGGCAGTGGCCCTTCGCCTCTGGAACAATCTCCCCTCAGAAATTCATCTGGTTCCCTCGCTGGGTGCTTTTAAGAGCAAATTCAAGACCTGGCTCTTTAGGCAGGCCTTCCCTCCTGTCAATACCTAATTTATTTATTGCCATCTTCAATTCTAATTTATTTATTGCCATCTTCAATTCTATTAATGTTGATGTTTTATTTTATTTTATTGGATTGTTGTTAGCTGTCCAGAGTAGACTTTGGTTTAGATGTGTGGGGTATAAATTAAATATAAATAAATAAATAAATAAATAATTTATTTTATATCCCGCCTATCTAGTCACTTAAGACCACTCTAGGCAGATTGCCAGCTGCGTTCCTATCTTGATTTATTCCTTTTATGCTTCTGTCAAATTTATTCCTTCTATGCTTCTGTCCTCCACTTTTTGTGAGTTGTGTGGCATCAACTAAAAAGCAGTCCATGACTCCAAGTGCTCCCATGGACTTTACTAGTCGTTTCAAATAAAGACTTTGATGCCTTGTTCCTTTAGGGATTTCTCCACATCCCACCTAAATTGGCTCAACTATCAACATCACAGGTTCTTTTTACACATTGAGACAACTTTCAAGATTATTTTATTCTAATTCACAAAGTTACAGACAGGAATATTTGTTCCTGAGTCACCATGAGTTAACCATTTCACTTCTAAACAGATAATACTGAACTACCTGAGTCCATGATTAAAGGGGATGATTCAACATCTCTACAAAGGCACACCAGCATTTCTCAATTAAGAAGAAAATAACATATTGGCATTGAACTAAATCAAGGGTTGGTAAAATGAAGACTTCCAAAGTTTGAAATGCAATTCCCAGCATCCCTCATCGTTGGCTGTCCTGGCTACAGGTGATGGGACTCTCAGAACTCTAGTCCAACATCTGGAATGCCACACTTTGCCTATTACTAGTTTAAATCCAATGTTAGTTCCATAAAGCTGATGAAATGAAAGGGATTAAAATTAGTTGTGACTGGCAAGTCCCACTTAATTTAGCAGTCTGCTCTATGTAGGCATAATGCTGGATTAGTCCTATCTAGTCTCACTCTTGGTATCAAAGTATGAAGAGAATTTCAGGAAGCCATATCAAATGCTAACATTCTACATATCAAATGCTAACATTCTACATGCAAACAGCAGATGCTGCTGAAGCTACATACCTTCCAAATGTTCAGGTGAAAGTATTTCACATCGAATGTCCTGATGGTTACTGGAACACTCAACAGCACAATCCTGATTTTGTTTTCTTTGCAAACAATCAAGGTCATTTTGGTCAGATTTCAAGCACATTTCTGTGGTTTTACTACAGTTTTCACAGAGAAAAATGAGAATTAAAGGTTTCATTCATAATCCTATAAGTGCTACCACTTTGCAGCATTATGTCATTTCTGTCAGATAGAGTCAGCAATATTTTAACCTCATTAAATTACATATTCCAGGATATATGGACAGGCTTCCAATGGCATTTGTATAATTTAGGTCCAAGAAACATCTATCTAGGCATTAGTTCCAAATTTTGAAAAAGCAAAAAGTACACAGTGCAGATTATTCATGTTCATTAATCCAAGGAAGTAAATGTAGGGTCTCCAGTGACACATTTCCAAAACCAAAGATAATAAAAAAGAAGCTACTTCTCTATCAACAGCACATAAGTTTTATATGAAAGACTGGAGGTAAAGATTTGAAAAGCTATTTAGTTTTGTCCTAAATAGGTGTAAATACTTTTCTACCCATTAATATACTCAAAGTGGCATTTTTGTCATTACTTAAAAAAATTAGACATGTTAGCTTTACAAGTAGCATTTAATTATACTTTTTCATCTAGAAAGCAATTTTTTCTTGAGCAAACTCTGAATTTGGGAAGATCAACATACTGTATACAGTTAAACCAGTACACATTCTTGCATGACAAACAGTGAGATTTTTTCAAAAGAGAACACGTGACATAATGTAAGTTAAGTTGCTCATCCCAGGATCACACCAAATATTCTTGTGGGCCAATGACATGAACACCAGTTAGTCTACAGAAATGTTGAGTTGGTTTTTAAAAAGATATTTGAAGACTAAAGCTAGATAGCTCCATGAGCCACGGATCAGATGGAAGTCTCATTCTCAGTTTTCTCTCCCAGGAAACCTGTAGCATTGGGAAAGCTGCAAAGCCCCAAAATAACCCAAGAATAAAGCAAGAGTAAACCACGTCTGGGTATTCTACCTAGAAAATCCTGGAACAGGTTGCCGTATGTTGGAGATGACTTGACAAAATGTAATTACTACTATTAATCTCCACATAGTCTTATCTCTCTCCTACTTCTTATATAATATGCAGTAACACTCAGATCAGCATTTCATGAAATCTGTTTATTATAGTTTGGAAACTATAATACAGATACAACCTAAAGCTTCAGTCTATAGAAAGAATGAAATCTTTTAATCTAACCCTATTGTTGAGTCTAAAAAGAGAAAATTTAAAAAAACATTGTGAAATATAGAGTATAAGATTTTGTGACACACATAAAACCTCTACAACTTACATAGGATTCTGAAAGTTAAGTATCAGCTTCTTCCTTGGATCAGAATCAGATTCATCACAGCAAGAAGATGCTAATGGAGCGGAGAATCTCGTTTCCATGTAATAAGTTTGATCATGAAGTCTGTGGTAAGGAAACAGAAGAAGTAATTGCCTTGAACGTTCTTAACACCATCCCTGAGATAAGAACTTCAGGTTATGATATACGGACAAACAAACTATAAGCTTACCCATTTTAAAAATGAGCAAAGGAAACAAAACAGGTCAAGAGATTACATTTTCAAGTCATCTTGTCTACCTAGTTTATTTCTTCATGCTTTCCATGTTGTAAGCCAATATGATTTCCTTTCCAAGAGCTGATACCTTAGAAAGATTTACACATTTGCAGTTCTTATGAGTTTTTTGTAGCATGATTGTCAAGGATACACTGATATAAACACCTATAAACTACTGGATGATCAGATAGGATATACTGCTTCACTGGAAATTTATAACACACTTTTTCCAGAAACCTAGAAATCCTCTGTATCATGAGTAGGGAAAGCATAGGCTCCAGATGTTCTACGAATACAACTCCTAGCATCTCTAAACATTGGTTATGGTGGCAAAGGCTGATAGAAACTCCAGCCCAACAATATCTGGAGAGCTGTACTTTGCAGATCTCTGCTGAACACTAGCACCAAATTTATCTTCTGAGTGCAGATCTTTATCTAGCCAAAATAGCATTGCCCATGCACAAGAGGAAGGTACTGATAAGTTGGTGGACATCAAAACATGCAGAGATTTTTCACAAATGCAGTTTTTAAAAGAAAAAAAATCTACAGTGGGGGAACTACCCCCACATAGGCTAATGATGATCAAACATGATCAGTGGGCACAGAATGGTGATCCATGGATTTGAAGGAAAAGGGAAAACAAATAAGGAATGGAATGCTTTCTACAGGAGAACAACATAGCTAGATCTTTCAAACAGTAAACAAAGAGCATACCATATTACAACATTTTTTGGTGAGCCATGCTCCCACCTCCATAAGAGTGTGACCAAAAAGAGAAGACAGGACATTTTAATGACATCTTTGAAAAGCACTACTATCAGAAAGAATCAGATTTTAACACTGTAAGAATATACTATCCCCCCTTACAACGAACTGACAAGTAGACAGACAACACCACAGTAATACATCGAGGGTTAGATTTTTTTGCTAAAAATAGTACAGGTCAGTAACAAAAGGAGGAATGACAGAAACCATAAAATATGTGAAGCTATCCTTGGTCATTTTCACTGTTGGCTGTGTATCAAACATTTAACAATGTTCTTCTCATTAACCATAGGGTTAGTTGATCACCTGCATTCAGTTAGGGAGCTCTAGTAATAGTTATTAAAACCTCTTATTTGGCATATAAAATAGAAAACTTCATGAGACAAAAGGAAAAAAACTTTTCCAGCTTCTCTAAAGTTTATTTATTTATTTATTTTATATCCCGCCTATCTGGTCAGTTACGAGATGCTACAGTGTTAGGCAATGTTCTACATTTGGGCTTGGACCACTCCTCATTTGCAAAATGATCACAAGCAATTACCTGTTATTCCATAATAAATGCATATTTTTCCTTTAAATTGTAAAGTTCTAACACACATCTAAATTTGGATTGTTCCATTAATCACAGACTGATTTGTAAAGTGGAAAGCCAGGCCTGGAAACAATTTCAGATTTAGAAATTAACAGTCATGACCAATTTTTCAGTCACCCTTCATAATAGTCTTTATACACTATCACAGTTGCAACCTAATCCATGACTTGCCTGTCATGAGAATGAGTCTTCTGTCTGATTTCAGTAGAAGCAGCAACTGGTAGTCCAAGATTTGATGAAATTGTGATATTGTCCAGAATCTCAGTGGCATGGCTAGCTAGTGAGTGGTCCGCAACACTTGGAAACGTCTCATCCACAATACATCTTAAGTCTTCCATAATACTTCTTTCTCATAACTGTCTTGAAATTTTAATGAAATGTTAGGCACAAAATACTCAGTATCATTTTAACAATACCATGTTATCATTTACCTAATACTGTACATTATATTTTTATTCTCAAATGCTATGTGTACTGCAAAGCCTGTTTTGCCTTTCACACAGCTTCACAAGTATTAGAGGGGTTAAACAATTTACAGCAAAACTGGGGTGTCACTGTCTGATATTACCATTACCAACACAGTGCTTCTGCTTCTTCTGTAAAGACAGACACAACAGGGATTCCAGAAACAAAAGGAACACATGTTCCTTATGAGGATCAGGAACATATACCACTGTTAGAAAGCAGAGTGACAAGGTGGTCCAAAATTAGAGCAACCAAAAAAACAGTTATCTGGTAGCAATGACAACTGAAATTTGTGGTCTGTCATTCTTTTACAGTATATACTCTTTTAAGGAAAATGGTTCACACAAATTAAGTACACAATAATGCTGGCTCTATATTTAGCTTTAAGGCTGACGGACATGGATTTATTCCTCTGTTTCTAGAAGGCTAAGTATCTGAAGGGAGCTGAAAAGATAAAGGACTTAGCATACCCATTAAGGGTCATCAGAACAAAATCTTGACTTACCGTAACTATAAAGAAAACAAGCAATAAGAGCCAGCTTCTTGAAAATAGAAAAAAACTGAATGATGACAAAGGTTTGGGTAATTATGATATATGTTCACAACAAGAAAAAATACAATTTAAGCTCTTCAAGGAATACAGAAGCAATGGCCCATTTTACTTTGTAACCAAACAGCAATTATCATTTCTACTAGCCTAGGACCAACCATTTTTAAAAGCTCTTTTTTTACTGGAACACTTAAATAGACAATGAGATCATACATTACTGGTGCCTCAGCTCACTCCTCTACCTGTATTAACTCTCTGTTCAAAAAGCAAAAGTAGCATCCTACTTTAAAAGGGTCAGGCTTCCAACCCCAAGTGTGCAGAGATGGGCTGTGGTATACAAAGGAGCAGCGCTCTGCACAGAGTTAGAAACACTGTCCTTACTGAATCCAACACTAAACTCAGGCCTTCAAAGTTAGTTATGAATCAGAGTTCTAGATCTACTTTATGCATGTTATCATTCTCTCCGGGGGGGGGGGAGAACCCTATTAATTTCGTAACGGAAGTACACACGACTATTAAACCTCTAAACCTCGACTACTACTCGCAAGACGAGGCCGGGCAGGGGATGAACTCTTATCTCACCCTCGTCCCCACATATCAGTATCTGGGCCGGACACGCAAAGAAGGAACCCAATTTCACCCTAACGACAACGACCGCTGCAGGAGGGAAAGCTGTCGCTCCACCACAGCCTCGGGAGGGAAGGGAAGACTCTGAAGGCGAGTCCCGCTCTTCTCTTCCCGTCCCCTAAAAAACACCCCAAGGCAGCCTCCCTCGTTCCGAAAACCTGCTCCCTTAAAAAACCACCACGCGGCGGCGGAGGGGAACGGACCGGCCCGCCCCCAGTTAAAACGGTCGCTTCCCCTCTTTCCTGCCATTAGAAGACACATACACACAAACCAGGCACTCACCACTAATCGCCGAGCCGAGGCGAAAGAACCGCTTGGCGGGCGGGGNCGCCTCAAGAAGCGCGCGCCAGGTCGCGAGGCACCATTCGAAAAAACTCTCGGCACCCTCCCCGCAGCGACGAACTCTTTTATGGAGGAAGGAGAGGAAACATGCCCCCCCCACTCGGGGTTCCCCACCCTCAAATAGATGCGTGCGCACGCGCGCCCCCTCTCTTTACTTACTTACCTGGCGCTCAGCAAACCCGCTCTAGATTTCGTTTTCAGAAAAAGGCGGAGCCAAGAAGGCAACACAGGAGAATTCTATTGGTTTGTCAGGAGGAAAGCACTCCCGTCCTTTGATTGGTCAAGAGGGGAGCAAAGTGGGCGTGCGACTCGTTTCAAACAGAAATGGCCTTGAAATGGTGGGGATCTGGAGGCGTTGCCTGCGGAGCCTTGCTTTTAGTGAAAGTTTCATGGGCGGCTGCTCAAGAAAAGGTTTCCTATGGCACGACAGTGATCTCCCTGCTCTCGTATCACAATAGTCACGGTTATAAGTTCTGGCCCTCCCTCAAATAGTTGCCATTGGTTATTTTTTAAATGGTAGTTCTTTATTTTTTAAGCATTGCAGTTAAGTTACTTTAAAAGTCTTAAATATAAGTCACTAGCCTGTAAAACCAAAGATGACCTTCCCTTCTGGGAAGAAACTGAGAGCTTGGGTAATATGAAACATAACATTCAGCCAGCCAAACAGACAGATGGCAGCATGAATAAAGGACAATTGATACCTTCAATTTATCTCTTGTGATCCCAAGCGCTCCCTGGCCTACAGATGGGGGAAATTATTTAGGACTACCCTGACTCGTCACGAAGAGCCGGAAACAACTAAACAACAACCCTGACTCGGGGGATGTGGTTGGCGCTGCGGGTTAAACCACAGAAGCCTCTGTGCTGCAAGGTCAGAAGACCAGCAGTTGCAAGAGCAGATCCACGCAATGGAGTGGCTTATCCTAGCTCCTGCCAACCTAGCAGTTCAAAAGCATGCAAAATGCAAACGTGCCAGTAGATAAATAGGTACCCCCACTGTGGGAAGGTAACGGAGTTCGGTCTCTAGTCGCGCTGGCCACGTGACCACTGAAGATTGTCTTTGGACAAAACGCTAGCTCTATGGCAGTGCTCAGGGAACAGGGGTAAATTACCCCAAATGGGGTAAAAATGAAAATCCTGGGGGTAATGGGGATAGTCGCTACAGGCATTTTACCCCCAGGCATTTTATTTCCGACAATGCTGTGTGTAGGCGGGCGTTCCGTCGCGGGGAGAGCGAGTCCTGGTGAGGAACTGCACAGGGCACCCACCTGTCCTCCTCGCCTCCAAAGTGGGGGTGAGGATGGTGTACCAGGCCAGCTGGACTTTCTGCCCAGCGTAGCCCTGGCCGGGGCTCTCCTTCCTGCCTGCGCCCACCTGCCTGGTGCACTGGCAAGGAGGCCCCCTTCCCACCCCGCCTCCCGAGCTCATGGCCGGTGGACCTGCCAGCCCTGCGGCGCCCGCCTCCCCTCTCCAAAGACTTGTTTTCCCAGCAGTGTGGCAGCTCCAGACTGGCTGCCTGGGCAGTGGCCACTGGTCCCAGGCGAGCGCAGGAGGGGCAGGGGTTGGCCGTGGACGGCAAGAGCCGGGGGGGGGGTTATGTCAACGTAAATAAATATTTTGGGGGGTAAAAGGTAAAAAAGTTCCCTGACCCCTGCTCTATGGGTTGGAAACTGAGATGAGCACTGCTGCCCAGAGTCGACCGGACTGGACAAATTGTCAAGGGGAACATATTCTCGAAGGCTTTCACGGCCGGGATCTGATGGTTGTAACTGGTTGCTGTATGTTGGATAACTATCCAACAAACAGCAACAGAGCATGGACAGAGTTCCTACTCC